CAGCAGGAGAGGCCACAACAGTGAGAGGCCCGCGTACAGCAAAAAAAAAAAAAAAAAAAAGAAATGAGTGAATGAGCTAATTAATTACTTAGTATCTAACTACTACATGATTGGCCACATCTGTTGCATTGACTGGATGAGCGTAGAGTCAGGATGAAGCCAAAGTTATTCTAAAGAATGAGTTAGACACAAGAACGTGGTACAATAATAATGCATAACATTTTTTAACCCTTAAAAAATTAATTTCCTCGGGCTTCCCTGGTGGCGCAGTGGTTGAGAGTCCGCCTGCTGATGCAGGGGACACGGGTTCGTGCCCCGGTCTGTGAGGATCCCGCGTGCCGCGAAGCGGCTGGGCCTGTGAGCCATGGCCGCTGGGCCTGCGTGTCCGGAGCCTGTGCTCCGCAATGGGAGAGGCCACAGCGGTGAGAGGCCCGCGTACAGCAAAAAAAAAAAAAAAAAAAATTAATTTCCTCATTTAATATTTACAGCACCCCCATAATTATGCATTTTATTCCCATTTTGCAGATAAGAAAATTATAGCATATAGAGGTTAATTGCCCAAGACCATGATCTTTTTGTGGCAGAACAGGAATTTGAGCCTCAGTCCATCTAACTCCGGAGCCTATATTCACATCCCTATGAACTATAATGCCTCCAACAATACCTGAGTACGAGAAAACAGAGAGAAAACATTTCTTAATTTGGGAGACAGGAATAACATGGCTTCTATAGTTAAGACTGGTCTCCTTCTCTTCCCAACCACAGCCTTCATGGATTCATGTTACAATCTTCCAAAACAGAGCTAATATTAAGCTAGGATGCACCAATATATTTGTCCTATCTGCTAACGAACATCCAATCTGATTGTTCAAGTTATATTTTGGGTCCGTTCTGAATGATCAGTCCTGTGCCATATCACCTGTTATATATCATGATTATCATGTGCTAAAATAAAATTATACAATATAAGAGTTTATTTCTCAAAAACACCATCAGATACTCCTCTAGTATTCATATGACCCCTGTGATGGCAAGGGGCGGGAAAGGTAGAAAGGAGTGGGAAAGCATTCCCCCTCCTTGCATACTAAACACAATGTCATTCAGCACATATCCTATGAATATATTCTTAGAATATATTCTATTTCCTAGGGGTACCATATTCTATGGCTCTGCCCTAGCACTTTTAGGGCTCAAGAATATCAGTGGGGCTATGGTACTGGCAGCTATGTCTAAAAGGAGGGCACTTGGCTGAAAACCCTGGAGGGAGAGCCAAGACCCCTTCATGTGACTGTGTAGGCATCAAAAATATCCACAACAGATGAAAAAACCACAGGGGGCTAAAACAGAAAAAGAAAAAGAGGGAGGATATCACCTGGTGATTGACAGCACTTTGTAGGGACATGTGAAATATCAGTTGGGAACTCTCAAACCATTTGGGAAGACTTTGCAAAGAGGTGAAAACACTGCAGTGGGTGGGGGTGAGGAAGACACTGCAGTGGGTGGAGATATATAGGTAGGTGAGGAAATAAAAATTATTATATAAATATTCCCCTGCCTTCTAATGAGAGAAATTCTTGGTAATTAGTGGGTGTGCTGCTTGCTAAGTCAGTTTTTAATTGCAGCTATGCAAGCTGGAAAGAGATGAGACAGAATTAATTGTCTACCTAAGAAAGGAGAGAAGGGATGCAAGGAGAGATCTGGAAATGGAGGACTGGAGCCAAAGAGGTTTAGAGAAGAGTCAAAAGAGAGAGGAAGCTTGTGGCTGTGTGGCTATGAAAAACTGGGAGAGATATATCAAGTACAGAGATCTGGAGCGAAACGGCATTTCCTATGAGGTAAAAATCTCTCATCATTTTCAGTAAAATATATGCTTTTGGGCAAGTGACTTCTTTAGGGTGAGTAAGAAGAATCATTGGTCCTTGCTCCATATACAGAAATAACTAACATCTGGTTTACTTAGACTATTAATATTGACCCAAAGTCATTTATTTCATGTTGGTCTTTCATACTAGCTTAGAGCCTCCCTAGGGTTTTATCTGTCTTTTTGATCGCTCTATACCCTTTTCCTGGCACATAGGAGGCAACTGATAAATATTTGTGACCCAGCTGACTGTCTGACTGACTCATTCACTTTCATTCTTGATGATGAGATCTGAAGACATAGAAGGATCACTCTCCCTTGGAGGTTTTCCTGTGCTGATCTTGCCTAAGCCCCCAAACCTCACTTTCTGGAGAGCTACATAAGAGACTCAGAGTCAATGGATTCCAAAGCAAATCCCCGGAGTGGCAGTGGAATAATACCTAACACTCCTAGCCACTCGTGGACATTGCCATGGTTGAAGAACCATTCAAGAAACACTGCAGAAATACTTTCCAGAGTGGGATTACTTGTTAATTCTACAACAGAGATAACTTCTACAAGTACCCAAGTCAGAAAAGTAAACAAACAGCTGGAGACTGTACCAAGTAGAAATACAGATGCCAAAATTCCCCTCATACCAGAATGGAGAAAGATTTCCATTGAAGATCCAGTAAAATGAGATTTTATTACAGGAAAAAGCATATAAAACACTTTGCATTTACTCTTTTTTTCCCTACAGAAGTCTTGAATACTAGATGAGAGAAAAACATGAAGGTCTCTCTGTCTTAACTTTTCCAAATTCAGGAAAAAACGTATTTTAAATGTTCTCAGAAACTAAGAAATAGCACGTATTTGAAAGGAATGGCTGGAATCACCATTTGAAGACTCATGTATATCCAACAGCACTTGGATTGTGGCTAATCCTTGTAGCCAAGGCTGATAAGTTCCCTCCATTGAGCGGTGACTTAAACATAGAGGACTTTCTGTTATTTTGTATTTGTGATTAGAGAGTTGTGACAACCTCTGCTCGTCAGAGGTAGAGGAAGAAAAAGGATCAATCACTTATTTCAGGGAAATAAGATCCCTGAATTTTTCTAAAATCACTCTTTGATTTTTAGTCTTGCATTCATACTGTGTTAATCTAATCTTTTCTGTTTCCTCCCGCCAAATTGGATAAACTGCTCCATAGATGTCAAGGTAGGAGATGGATTGCTTTAGTTTTGTTTTTGTTTATTTCTTGTTTATGCTAGTAAACAAGATTGGACTACAGTGGACAAGACATTTAATTAGTCTAAGCTCAGTGTGCTGATCCATAAAATGAAGATGATAATACAGTACCACTTATATAAGGGAGATGTGAAGATTAAATAAGATAATGGATATAAAGTACTGAGCAAAGTGTCTAGAGCATATCAAGTTCTCTAAATGTTAGTTCTTGTTGTTTGAAAATGTGAGTTCTCTTTCTTGTGTTCAAAAATAGTCCTGCTTTTAAACTTGTTTAATTGAATCTTACGGCCTGACTTCATATCCCCTCATTTCATCTTTTTAATTGTTTAAAATCACTTCTGAACCTCTTGAAAATCAGAATATTTAATTAAGAAGCACATTTTCATATAGGAGGGTGACCATGTTTGCAATGGTAGTTCACATAAACAGCTCTGGTTTCCTTGAGGGCAAGGACTTCAATGTTTTTTCTCACTGCTGCATCACCCACACCTGAAACAGTTAGTGCCCGACACATAATAGGTGCTCAATAAATATTTGTTGAATGAATGAAACAAGTTGGAAACCATTTAGTAAGAATATACTACTTCACAGAGACACCAGTAGGTCAGACTTATAAACCAGTCACATTTGGTAGCATGATAAGAATTTTATTCTCTGGAAACCATGGTAGCAATGTGGATGCCATTTATGGCTTCATCAGCATGACTTGTTATCCAACTCATTTCTGGCCAATTCAACAAGATGACCTTATTTTCAAGAACTTCTTTTATGACTAGACTTGTGGCATATATCACCCCATTCTGTTTCCTGGGATGGTAAGATAAACTAGCAAGTGTTTGCCTCTGATAAAATGAAAGAGAACTGAAACACTCCTCTATTAATCTTACATGAAACATACAGCCTGGCATGACTTGCACAAAAGTAAAGAAAACCTTATTTTATCTATTTTTTCTCCAATACTAATTTTGCTTCCCCTAAGAATCTAATCAGATTAGGAATTTGGCAATTAAATTAGAAAATAAATTCCAGTGGTATATAAAACATGTGAAAATATTACATAATGGCTTTAACCAGGCTCTTACTTCATAAATTGATAGGCAAAGACATCATTTTAATGGTAATCTTAAATGAAGCACCCATTAAATCTAAAAAATGTATACCTTATTTTTCACTGAACATGTGTGTTGGTTCTTTCCTCTTTATCTTTCTCTTGTAATTAGTAAAAATCTTTTTTTTTGACACAGATTATTAAAAATATTTATTACAAGCAGATTCCTTTTCCCATATTCAAAAGAAAAACGTATGACTGGAAATACTGAGATGGCAATTGGTGAAACCAATTCCCAGTCCTTATCAAGTTAGGAATCAATAAAGGAAAAGATACTTTGGAACTTAAAATTAGGGAAGCCTATACACAATTTAGATGGGGGGGGAGAGAAAAACAAACAAAATAAAGTCATATCATTTACATTTTACAGCCTTTAATTAAGCACATAAAACTGTACTATTTAATATATTTTTCCATGAACTTTTTGTGAAATTCAGATCGCAGCGTATCATTTACAAATCTTTTGTCTTTCTTCTGATCATCTACACCTTTTGCACAGTTCTTGAAAACAACATCATCATCCCACCTCCTTTTAACTTTGAAGTTGGCCTGAGGCTGGGATGGGCCAGTGAGATTAAGGAGAGGGTTTCTACTCAGAATGTTTTCCATACAAATCCTTTCTTCTTCAGCCTTTTGTTCTTGTTCCTTCCTGGACTGCTCTTCAGCTCTTTCTTTTTTAATTTTTTCCAGCTCCGCAAGAAGAGCTGCAGTATCATCATCATCACTCT